ATTAGATATGATGTACCAGGAGCACAGACCCGAGCAAAATGGCCCCTGAGGACAACTGGTGTAGAAATAACCCAGGAAGACACAAATAGTAAGTATTTGGGGAACACAGCTGGGGATGTAGACAGCCCAACATATAGAAAAATAGATTAGGGGTAATTCCCCCAGTAATTGTGCAAGAACTGATTAAATAAATCCACAGGACTCTGACTCCATTATTGGGGAGCTGGCCTGGCCATATTAATAATGAATAGAGCTTATTAAAAACCATTTTACAGAGCAGTCAGAAGGACATCTTCTCTGGCAAGACAGGGAGCAGGCCAGGTTCCCTAGAGCACACAGTTTCTAGTCCCATTTGTAGGATTCTCTGAGTACAGCCTCTCATCTGTGCCAGCTAACTGTTCCAGGAAAAATGGGCTGTTGGACTCCATCCTGTGCTGGGAGAGGCTGGACACTGGGACCTCTTGAGGCAGGGCACTTGAGGTCACCCTGCCTTTCTGATCCCAACTCAGCAAAGCAGAGATTTGAGAGAGAAAGGCATGGTCCTCCATTACTTGTTCCTCTGGAATGTTCCCCTGGCTTCTGTTGTCAGCCTATCAAACTTGAATGATCTCACATACCTGATGTTGAAAACTGCTGGTTCAGTAATGTGTTTGGAAGGGCTAACTCTCACACTCCTGCCCTACCTTACTGGCTCTGACTCGGATGCTACCTTAGCCAAATCTGGGTGGATGGATGGATGGATGGATGGATGGATGATGAGGATTGTAACTCAGAAAACCAGGCCTCTCCAGCTCTCAACTGAGAGGAGTGGGCAACCTGGCTGTGTGACAGAGTAAGTTAACTTGTGTGAGTGTGAATGTGACCACTCTATTAGACAACTCAGCAATGCTAAGTGTACAGTGCCAAGGGTCCTCGCAATCACAGTGTTGTGTAACCATGATTGGCAATTTTAGAATGTTTTCATCATTTAAAAAACCATAAATCCATTAGCACATATTGGCTGTCTCTACACCCAGCTTCTGGAGATGTTGGAGCAACTTTTTTTTTTAATTTATTTTATTTATTTAGTATCTGAGTGCTCTGCTGCATGTACACCTGCATGCCAGAAGAGGGCATCAAGATACCTCTATAGATGGTTGTGAGCCACCACGTGGGTGCTGGGAGTTAAACTTGGAACTTCTGGAAGGGCAGCCAATGTGCTTGACCACTGAGCCACCTCTCCAGCCCTGAATTAACTTTAAAAGAGTTACCTATTCTGAGCCCTGCAGTGATGGCACATGCCTTTAATCCCAGCAATCCAGAGGCAGAGGATCTCTGAGTTTGAGACCAGCCTGGTCTATGGACTGAGTTCCAGGACAGCCAAAGTTTCATAGAGAAACTGGAGAAGAGCTGGGTTCAGTTCCCAGCACCTACATGCTGGCAGCTCATAACCAACTGTAACTCCAGTTCCAGGGGTTCTGACACCCTGTCCTGGTTTCAAAGATACTCACACATGTCCTGGATTTACGTGCATGTAGGCAAAACACTCATATGCATAAAATTAAATCTCGCAAGGGACACCAGAGAAGGCACTGAGGCGCATGCCTGTAATCTCGGCACAGTAGGACAGTAGGATACATAGATAGATAGATAGATAGATAGATAGATAGATAGATGATAGATAGATAGATAGATAGATAGACAAATAAAATGGCAAAAGCACTGACTTGTGGTCACAAGATGGCTGCTGCACACTGGAATTCAGCAGCTGTGACTGCCTGTACACAACTGGGCTCTTCCGCACTCAGCCCTGGAACTGGGATGGACTGTCACACCCACACCCTGAGGACTTAGACACAGTTGCCTGAGGGAAAGGCATAAGTTATTCACTGATAAGTTGTCCATGCTCCAGCAACAAAACCTAGTGAAACACACTGGGAGACACACACGCACACACGTACACACATGCACAGTCACACGCACACATACAAGGGCAACTAGCTGGAGTAAAGGGGGAAAGGAGAGATTCTGTGGACTGGATATGATTGAAATACAGTGTGCTCGTGTATGCAAATGTCATAAGGAGATTCTTTATTATCTATAATTAATATATGCTAACATTTGAAAAGGTCAGGCATGTTGGGGCACACCTGTAATCCCAGCATTCAGGACATGGAGTCAGGAGGATCAGGAATTCAAGGTCAGGCTTATCATATAGTGAGTTTAACATGGTCTACATGACATTCATCACGGGGATCACTTGGGCACCGGAGCAAATGCCACCTTCTTTCCCATGGTGGCCAGGCCAGCTGTGGATCAGATGTACACAGGTCACAGGACAGGAGAGCAGGCATCCAGTGTCCCTTGAGTGAGTCTGATTCTTTCCTTCTTAGGCCCCTTTGGGAAAAGCCCCAGAGCCCACGTCCAAGTAGCTGCAAGGCCCCTCTCTGCCCACAGCCTCTATACTGTGGAGAAAGGAGCTTGCTTTTTAATAAGAAAGGGCCCTGTGCCCACCTGCTCCATTTTGGCCCCATCCCAAGGCCGAGCTTGGCCACACGGGCTTTCAACACCAGTCAAAGGCAGAAGGCCAGCTGTTTGCCAAGCTGCTGGCTCCAGCTTCCAAGCCAGCTGTTGATAGCTGGAAAGGAAGGGGTGGCTACTGACCTTGTTGGCCAGTAGTGAAAAGAAGTAGTGCCTGCCCTTCACCACAGGGACAAAGAGAGACTGTTAAGTGTCCAAACCCATGAGTTGTCACAGCAAGCTTCACTGTGATTCCCCAAAAGAGACACACACACCCTGGCCTCTGGCACCTGTCAATATGTCCATTCACAGAGCTCTTTAGCAGATGTGCTTGCGTTAAATCTGGAGAGAGTGAGTCCCGGGTTTAAAGAGACCCTGAATGAAGTTCCAAGTGTCTTTGAAAGGAAGACAAGCTGTGTCTAGGAGGTCAAGTGGAGTCAGGACAGGAAGGCTGAAGTGATATGGCCTCTCCCTCCAGGCAAGGAATGTCTGGAGATATAGGCGGCGTGAAACATGGTCCCCCAGTCAGTGCTATGAGCACAGCCTTACTCACATCTGGATTTTGAACTCTGACTCCCAGAACTATGAGAAGGGATTTGTCTGTTTGCAGCCTCCTGGTTTCTGGGTCTTTGTGACACAGCCTCAGGACAGTCATTCAGTTGTCTAAGTTCCAGGCCAGCCCAGGGGCTACCTGCTGGTCATGCTCCAGTGCAGAAGAACAAACCCCTACCTTCTGGGAGTCTCCATGCCTGTCCACACACTGGGCAGCTCTAGATGCGCCATACTCAGGAGATCAACGTCTCCTGAGTGGATCTCAGTGGGTCCCACAACAATGTGGGCCCCAGCAGGTCCCTGAGTATAAAGCTGAGAACTCCATCAGATTAATAGGCAGAAGGGTGGGCGCTAGATGTGGAGGAGGGAAGGAGCACTCTACATGGGGAGGAGGGAAAAAGGAGCACTGTAAACGGGGAGGAGGGAAGGAGCACTCTAGATGAGGAGGAGCACTGTAAATGGGGAGGAGGGAAGGAGGAGGACTCTAAGTGGGGAGGATGGAAGGAGGAACACTATAAATGGGGAGGTGGACTCTAGATGGGGAGGAGGGAAAGAGGAGCACTCTAGATGGGGAGGAGGACTCTAGATGGGGAGGAGCACTCTAGATGGGAAGGAAAGAAGGAGGAGCACTCTAGATGGGGAGGAGGACTCTAGATGGGGAGGAGCACTCCAGATGGGGAGGAGGGAAGGAGGAGCACTCTAGATGGGGAGGAAAGAAGGAGGAGCACTCTAGATGGGGAAGAGAGAAGGAAGAGCACTCTATCCAATGAGCAGACAAAGACTCCAGCTTGCTGTGGATTGCCATGGCAAGTTTAATGTTTTCTGGAAAGAGCAGGCTAGAGCACAGGAGGCAGCAGCCTCTGCTGTAGGCACACCCCTGGAAAGTGGCTTGGAGAGTCTGACCAGCAGAAGCCCCTTCGGAGGTGACATACGCACACATCGAGCTCCGGAAGGAGAAGAGAGGGATCCTAACCAAGGGCCACCAGGAAGCAGCAAGCAAGGCCTAGTTGGCACAAAGCAGATATCCAGTGACCCAAGCCCTGGGGATCCACATAGGGTGAGATGCGGAAAGAACACAGGCTCTCTGCGATCAGAGAATCAGCCCTGAGGCCATCCCTGAGTCTGAGCTGGGGGCGGGATATGCCTTTCCTGTTTCCTCTTCTACCTCTTGGAGATTGACCCGGAAATAGGTAGATTTTTAGAGCTCTACTCCAGCTCTGGGATCCAAAGGAAGTTTCTCTCACATGGCCATAAGCTAGGGCTGTGTCAGGGCTGGGCAGGTCTATCAGTAACGCATCAAGTAACCAGACAGGATGCTGAACTGGAAAGGAAGCAGGGCACTGGGGATGGCAAGGAGCAGTTTGATGGAACCCAAATCAGAGCCTTGGTCCTCCCATGGTTAATCCACCAGGAAGGAGAAACGAGGAACTGATGCCCCAACAGGCAAGAGAGCCCGCTCACTCTGAGTTCTGGAGTGGCTGGGGAAGTAGAGCAGAGAGGTACTAGGACATAGTAGGCTCTTTATTTCTTATAGAGAAAGCTGCATGGGTCCCTGAGGTCCCCAGCCACTTTTAGGATCCTGTGAGTTGGTGAAAGCAGGATGCTGCCACCAGCCCAGAGTCAACCATAGAGGACACTTGCTGCCCTCCCCCCCAACCCTTTCACTAGTGTGTCTCAGAAAGACTGACAAGTCCCTGGGCAAGGCTATATAGCATGTCCACAGAGCTCGGAGGTCAGTCCTGCTGTCCCCAGGAAAGCTCATACATGGCCTAGAGTTAAGTCAGACGTGGTTTCCAAACCCACAAACTGCAGCTCCTCTGTTACCATTCATGTTTTTCCTGTGCCTCAGTTTCCCCAGTATAAACAGCTCTCTCTCCCTGTCTCCCTGTCTCCCTCTCCCGCCCCCCTCCCCAACGGCCCCAGCTGGCTGGAAAGCCAAAACTAATACCTTTCTTTCTCTTTTCTGCTTTACTTTGTTCCTAAGAAACCCATGACATTTGCTTACTTGGGTCCAGGAATGGGAGTACACAGGGGCTGTGCTCTGGAACACCCTGTGGGACAACACAGCACAGGGTCGTCTAAGGCTGTGTATACAGAAGGAGTTGGAGGTCCACCAATGTCCTCACAGGCTCCCCGCCCAATGATTTCATCCGCCGGCAGCTCTCTGCTTAGAGTAGCAGCCAGATCTGGGACCACACGGTCCTTTGGGCTTCCCAGTGGCCAAGGGCATCGTGTCAAAAAAACAAAACTGAAGAAGCCAAGGCCGAGGAAGGCAGGATGGAGGAGAGAGACGATGGAATCCGCCTGGGGCAGGACTCCAGCGTCCGTAGAATGCAGGGATAGGCCGGGTGCCAGGCAAGGAGGTCAGCAGTCTGTGGAAGCTCCACAGGGGGTGTCCGCTAGGGCTCGGAGGCTGGCTTGACCAGGTAGCCACTGAAAGTGATGTAGGTGTCGAACTCGTCACTGAAAACAGCGTTCTCACGCTCGCCCTTGAAGAGCCGCACCCATACCTCATCCTGTTCGCGCAGCTCCAGCATCAGGCTCTGACTCTGCATGATGCTGCGGTCGCTCACCTGCGCGTACAGGATCACCACCTCCTCCTCGTTCTTCATGATGTGCAGATACGTCTCCTTCTGGTTCCAAGTATGCACATTGAGGCTGAAGAAGTAGATGCCCGGCACATAGCAGTAGAACTTCCCGGTGAACATATTGAAGTGTTTGTAGAGGTTCACAAACTCTGTGTCGAAGACCACAGGCTGGAAGTAGTCGTTGCTGTGCAAAGCCTTCTTCCGGCCCACGGAGAAGGCGGCGTACTGGCTCTTGCAGTGGTTCCCGGGAGCTCCTATGGACCCCTTCTGCCCTTTGGGGCCAACATGGCCCCTGGGACCCGTAGAACCTATTTTGCCGTACTTCCCCTGGAGGCCTCGATCGCCTCGATCCCCTTTCTCACCTAAGAGAGAACAAGAAGATGTGAGGTCCCAAGGGAGGCCAGCCTGCAGCTGGCTCCTGGGCAGCAGTCTGACTCCACATCCCAGCATCCTCTCTGGCGCCCCTTAGCAGGAAGCTCCCGGGCAAGGGGGCATCTGGCTTCTCAGGTCATTAGCATTAGCGATAGAAACTTTTTCACTGTCAAGAGTTGTGTACATCCAGAGGGCACACTTTCTGGAAAGTCCTGGCAGAGATAAAGGAACATATGAGTTTATCCACAAGCAGCAGGCTCCGTGGCCAGGCCTGGACTCACTCTGAGTAAATGCCAATGTCAGGACTCAGTGCAGAGGGGGGAGGGGAGGTCCGGGTTGCCAGCATTCCCTGGGTTGTGTGAAGTTATCTAGAGAGACAGGCACAGCATTTCAGAGAAATGCCTTAGGTGTTGAGTCAAAATTGGGAACTTAGAGGTCTACAAATCCTGTGCAAATAAGGATGGGCAGAATCCCTGAGGCCCCTCTTTCTGTATGTGTGGTGTGTGTGTACATGTGTGACATGTGTGTATACACACCCCACAGGCACTTGGAGAGGCCAGAGAGAATGCACGTGCCCTCCTTTCTCTCCCCTCACCTTTTGGCGAGCGTAAGCCCTCCCAGTGAATCTTACTGCTTCAGAGAGCCTGGCTCTAGAGTCCGCCTGCCCCTGCCTCTCCCCATGCTGGTTACAGGGGTTACAGGTACAAGTGGCTAGACTTAGCTTTTCCATGGATGCTGAGGGTTTGAACTCAGGTCCTCTGGCTTCGCTCTTACCCACTGAGCCATCTCCCCAGTGCCCTCTAAGGTTCTTCTGTTCATGGAGCAAGGTCACAGCTCAAAAATCAAAATGTCTTCCTTCCCTCCAGATGTCGCCCACCTCTGCTCTATGGTAGTGACCCACTAATCCTGCCCAGCCCCAACCAGCAGCATCTCCCTTGGGGAACCAGCCCCCAAATCATTTCTGAAGCCTCTCACCTTTCAGGATGGTGATGTTGATCTGGGGTGGAGGGATTGTCTGGTATACAGGAGTGCCAGGGTCACAGCAGCGGTAGCACCGAGAAATGGGGAGGTCCTCACCCTGGCTAGGGCTATACTTCTCACGTGTTTCTTCAGGCCTGAGGGAATAAACCAATCTAGAATCGTGAAGTGTTTGTGTTGGGAGTTCTCTCCTGTTGAGGTGGACACATGGCTTGCCTCACCTTGCTTCCCTTCCCCTAGTAATGCAAGCTCTGTTTAGCATAGGCATGAGGGAGGATTCTGAGACTCAAACTGCAGACAGTCACCCCCACCACCACCACACACACCCCAGTATCAGTTGTAACATATCCAAAGCAAAGATGACACAAATGCCAATGACCGCAGGGCTTAGATGGCGAAGCCACGCCCTCAAGACCAGGTCTTTCGGTGGTAACACATCTACCAGCAACGCATTTGTCAAGTCTCCATTCAATTCCTCTCCCGGAGCCTCTAGGCTGCCGCTGCCGTTGGATGGTAATGGCTCTACACCGCCACCTCATGGCCATGTGAAATATTGCACTTTGCTCTCCTCCCAGAGGCTCCAGGAGACACAGGGGGATCGAAGTAAGCCTGTCAGCCCCTCTCTAACCCTGATCCAATCTCTCCCCAGACCATCTGGATCAGGACCCACACATTCCCTGAGTCCAACCATATGAAAACCCAGTTCCTGGAGAAAGACACTCACTGACACCTCTCTCCTAAGCTTCAGACCTCGTGCGGGAAGTCTCCATCCCCCGACCCCCATTCTACAGGCTCCATGGGTATCTTGTGTCCAGAAATGAAGGCCTCATAACGACCCCCTGACTCTGAAACCTACTGTTTCCAAACATTTTTTTACAATACATTCTGGTGACCAGAATGGAGCCTTCTGCCCTCTGATCTCCCCTCCATATCCAGCAAGTCCTGGGGAGTCAACCCCTACCCAAAGCACCCCTGGGACCATCCTGGGACCTTACCATCTCTAATGCACCCTGTGAACAGCGGTCCTAGAGTTTGTCTCTCCACCAGCCATGCATTTTCTGATGCTTCCCTCCATGGTTCCTTCTGGAAATCCCTTCAATACAAACCTCTCCTGTAGGACTCACTATTCCCTCCAGAATGAAGGCTGCATGAGAGGGTTTCCCTCACGCTCAGCTGCTGCAGGCTCAGGCTTAAAACTTCCCATACACAGAGCCTCCTGCATGTCTCTCCCTACAAAATATCTTCCATAGACTTGGGTCCGTATACCACTGAGGGTACAGGCATGAAGGCAAGCCCCGGGGCCCAACTCCCACCACCCCAAACCATCCTCCCATCCTACACTACCGTCTACCTCAGCCTACAGCATTCTGCCTTTTTCTCCCACACCCGGGAGGACCCTGACACAGTACTGTGGATGGAGCCATACTCTGGAGCCTGAACTGTAGCGTGTGTGTCTGTCTCCCTGTGGTCTTGGAGTTTCTAGGAACCAATCTCTGTCCTCTCTGTGCTTTTCTAGGACCCAAGAGATGGCCTGATTGACAGTGGCTACTTAATGTTTGCTGAATGAAAACAGAGGAGAGGAAGAAGAAACAAAGGATTTGGGGTTCTTGGCCCCAAATTCTGCCTGGAAGCTTGCATATTAAATTGAACCAATGGGCAGGGAACACTAAGTCAGCATGGAGCCCTGTACATGCCTCTCGTTTGAAACCCCTACAGAATATTTCCCACAGTCTTAGGTCTTTATACCCCTGAGGGTTGCACACATGAAGGCAAGGGACTGACATCCTCAAGTCCTTTATAACCTCTCAGGGGAGGCTGATCCAGGGTCCGTGGGTCCATCCTCACCAGCACGCATTCCTAGTGAGAGACTAGGAGTTAGACAAACTCCCTGGTAGGCAGACAGATAGGGATAGGGGCCACAATAAAGGTGTTGAATTTCCAAGATGGCTTCCTCCTCGCCCACATGACTTGAGACAAAAGCCTGGCAGCTTAAAACAGAAGCGTTGTAGGCTTGGCATCTCAACCAGCAGGCTTCTGTTGTTGGACTCGCTCAATAAGCTCAAGGCCAGATCAGGACATGCTACCCTTCAGTTACAGCCCAGTCAATCATCCCAGCCATTGGGAAGAGACTAAATGGTTCCCCCTCTGCTTCGCATAAGGTCTTTTCTTTGTGTGTCTGCTGCATGAGTGTGTTCCCTCCCCCCCAACAAACGCCTTTCTTCAGCTGTTGCTGCTGTCTGTGGCATTCGAGACTTCTCCGAGGCCACTTGTTGTGCTTGAGATTTTTTCCTGTTTTTTTTTTTTTGTTTTTTAGTTTTTTAACTGGCAGAGAAAACAAACCTGAGCAAGTCCTCTCGACTTTAACACCATTTTATAAATAAGTTCCTTGAGGCCTCTTGTCCCTGCCTTCTGCCTACATGCATTCCCAGAGCCCTGGCACTTATTCCTGGGAGACCAAGCTAAAGGCATGATAGAAATGTAAAGTTTCTGTAGACCCAGCTGCCCTGGACCACCATCCTCAGAATCAGACAAGATGCTCAAGTCTCTGACCTCCAGGCTCGGCCTCCCTAGGACCACCTCTCAGCTTCCTCTTTGCCTTTTGTAACTCAAAGCAACCACATCTGGAGCACTCAAGCCTCACATGTTTGACCTGGTCAGATCGAGAGCCCCTGCTAGCGTGCTACCTCAGTTCCTCACCTCACCACATGATCCAGAGGAGATGGCAGCCCCTCTGTCTCTTCCCACTCCTGTTGTTCCTCCTGAACTCGTGGCACAAGGCTCAGGGCGGGGCCCCAGGTGATGGCCAGCAGCAGGCAGCATCCCAGCATGAATCCCTGTCCACAGGAGCCCATCTTCCTGCCGAAACACAAGGAGAGGGCATGGGTCAGGAAGGAACTACAGAGAAACAGCCAACCATGAGAACTGTCTGCCTGCCTGGCCCACATCACACACACACACACGCACACGCATACGCACATGCACATGCACACCTCCACAAGAGCTGCTGAATCATTGAGCACAGTGCATCAACCTCTCAGGAAAGAGAGCCCATCACCTACTGACCCCTGACAATGAGCAAAACCAATTCCAGGTGACTACTGGACAACTAACCCTCCCTGGAAGGGCTGGTGGGCAGGAACTGGCAGCAGTTGTTTTCTGCCACCAGGGGGCGCTGAGCGAATATATTAATTTGCACTTAATTTAGGCACCATCAAGCATCCATTCAACTCAATCCCAACTCACAGCTCCCAGCTTTCAAGCGAAAGCTTAGGCTAGACCCCTTCTCTTCCAATATGGAGACTGTCCTTCATTCAAGCCCCTCCCCGATCCCAGTGTTTCCCCACCACTGGCCAAAGAAAGTGCAGACGAAGTGTGTGGTGAGCTTAAGTACTCTCTGCCCCATCTACCTGTCATCTCTAAGCTCCTGGCCTAGGACGAGCAGAACCTGCCTCTTTCCCTATGGCTACACACCTCCGTCTATGGTCCAGCCTTTGGCTTCTCAAACCTAGGACTCCTCGTGAACTTCAGCTTCTCGTTCAGCTGACCAGAGCAGGGCCTCCGGGCACTGTGCTTTCAACACACCCTGGTGCTGCCAAGGGTCTGCTGATGGCGCTTTGCATGCCACCTCCTAGCCACACCCCCAAGCCTTGGCACCTGTCAGCAGCCCTGCATTCCTGCTCCGTAGCCAGGAGCACCTTCCTCCTGTTTGGGCTGATAAGCAGTTAACAGGCCCTGCAGCGGCACCAGGCACCCGGCTGAGATTTCGTACATCCTTCCAATTAATTTTCTGGGCCCATGAGGTAGGGGTAGATATGAGAACATGTCCTCATTAATCACTTCTATCCCACCCAGGCCTCGTGTGATCCCGGGGCCAATCTTTCTGGGAGACAATATTCATTCATTAGTATGCCGTTTGTAAGTGAGAACAGAGGGGATTGGGATGACTCTCCGCGGTTAAGCGCTAGCCTTGCAGGCACAAAGACATGAGTTCCACTCCGAGAATCCACCACATACTAAATAAAAATACATAAAAGCCAGGTACGCTGGCCTGTGCTTACAGTCCCAGGATCATGAAATCGGTGACAAGCAGATAGATGCCTGGGGCTCACTGGCCAGCCAGACTTGCTTAAGTTGGTGAACCCCAAGCCAATGGGGGACCCTGTCTCAAAAAGCAAAGTAGATGGCGCCTGAGAACAACTGAGTTTGTCCTTTGGCCTCTACACACTCTCATGCCCACTCACAGAAGTGTTCCTGTACACATCTGAACGTGGACAGCACACAGACACACAGTACACATACATGCACATCATGAACATGCACAGCACATATACACACATGCACACACATGTGCACAGCACACACATGCACATACACAGCACACACATGCACAGCACACACACATGCACATCATGCATATGCATAGCACATATACACATGTGCACACATGCACAGCACACACACATGCACATCATGCACATGCACAGCACACACATGCACATACACAGCACATATACACACATGCACACACATGTGCACGGCACACACATGCACATACACAGCACACACATGCACAGAACATATACACACATGCACACACATGCACAGCACATGCATGCACATACACAGCACACACATGCACAGCACATACACATGCACATCATGCACATGCACAGCACATATACACATATGCACACACATGTGCACAGCACACATGTGCACATGCACACACATGCACAGCATGCACATGCATAGCAAACACATGCACATTCACCACACACGCATGCCCATACACAGCACACACATACAAATCACACACATGCACAGCACACACATGCACATACACAGCACGCACATACACAGCATACACATGCACATGCACAGCACACACATGCACAGCATGCACATGCACAGCACACATATACACAACATGGCCATGCACAGCACACACATCCACATGCACAGCACACACATGCACATACACAGCACACACATACACAGCATGCCCATGCACAGCACACACATGCACTGCACATGCATGCACATACACAACACACACATGCACATACACAGCATGCACATGCACAGCACACACATGCACAGCACACACATGCACATACACAGCACATGCATGCACATACACAGCACACACATGCACATGCACTGCACACACATCCACATGCACACACACGCTCATACATAGCACACACATGCACACATATGCACAGCACACACAGTGAGAAGACAGAAGGAGGGAACTGTTGACTTAGGGCCGACTCCTAGGTGTCTAGCTGCACTGGAGTACAGACAAGCTAAACTCAGATGAACCAGCTCAAATGGACCAAACAGGACCCACTTCATGCTGTGCTCTGTCACCTTCTCCCAGACGCTCCTCAACCTCGACCTGGAAAAACCCTTCTCCATGGTAGTTTTATATATATCAGGTTGTCTCAGCCACGGAGACTTTTGCTTGGCCCTTGAGACTCTCCCTGTCAGACATGGATGTCTGTGGCTTAGCCAAATGTCCTGCAGTACCTTGGACTTCACTAGTGCTCAACAAATATTTATCCAGCTAAGTTCCCTGATCTGTTTATTTCTCTGTTTCTGTATTTCCTGTTTTCCCCTGGTACCTTCATAATTATCCTCCTGCCCCTGTAAATGCTAAGCTTGCATCTGGCAAAGGAAATTTTCCTTTCTTTAAACTTGGATCTGTTTGGATTTGGTTTTTCCATTTTACCACCTCACTGTGTAGCCCAGGTTGACTTTAAACTCTTGATCCTCCTGCCTCAGGTTCCTAAGTACTGGCAGCTATAGGTATGAACCACCATAATATATATTTTTTTTTTTTTTTTTTTTTTTTCATATATATATATATATATATCCACGTATGTTTCGGGGCCATATGAATGGAAGCAAACATAAAGCAACCTTTGGCTGTCCTTTCTCATCGGTTCTTGGGCTTGACTTTGTGACATCTGAAGCTGACAGTCCCCTCATGTTTATCTGAAGGTGCTGTGTGGGATCCTAGCCTCTGCCCACAAATGCTGTTAACATCCTCCTCAGTTTGTAACAACCAATGACTCCAGATCACTCAGGGGCAAAACTACCCCCAGCCAGGAACCAGGGCTAGGGCCACCATGTAAGGGTTGATGTGTCTCTTTCCGATCCAGAAAAGCAGATTTTAAACATGTTTGACAGAAAATTGGGTGCCCAGAGCTGGGCTAGAAATGTGACATGATAAGTAGCAGCCCTCAAGGCTTGTGCTGAGGGCAGTGAGGTGAGCACACACACACAGAGAGAGAGACACGTACACACAGCCTCTTTTGCAGTTTCAAATAAAGTCAAGGCTGAAATACTCCCCTCCCCCATACCATCTTAGCAATCATTTAACCAAACCCTACTGCAAAGTCAGCCTCATCACGATAGGATTCTTATAGTCACTTTTGGAAAAACCAGTATTGCCCAACACCTAACCAAAGCTGGCCACAGGTCACCTCTCCTTTCCTAGCACAGAGGAGTCTCCCCGAAAAGGAAGAAGCTTCCCTGATGTGAGGCTTCGTGCAGGAAGATAGGTCCAGAGAAGGGTAAGACATCCCGATCAAGGGGTGACACCCTCCATCCCCACCCCAGTCCCCCAGTCCATACTCATACTTGTTAGATCTCAAACTGGGGACAAACACAAATGGCCTCCTATTTAACATTTCAAAGCAGACCTGGCTGTGGGCTCTCCCAGCATCCCTCAGTCCCTACTTGTAGCCCAGAGGCTGGGCTACCCTTCCCCCAGCCCCCTTCCCTATATAACCCAACAGTCTTGGTTGCCTGGTCTTTATGTTCTTGGCCCAGGCTGCCTGACTCAGTCTGTAGTGCTCTCTGCCCCTCCCCCATCTGCTCCCATGTCTCAGGGCCACGTCCACTCTGGACTCTCCCAGATGTCCCTGCCCCTGACTATGCTCCCTCTTATCTACAATAAACTCTCCTCCGCCACACCTAGGAGCAACCACGTCTTTTCCCTTTTTCTCTTCCATTCGGTATGGCCTGTCTCTGGGTTGTGTCGCAGTAACAATCACTGAGGACAACCCCAGCCTGAGCCATCCCTGTTCTCTATTGAGGAGAGCTGACTTCCACGGGAAATCGTTATCTTATTTCTTCCTCCAAGTTCCACAGCCAAGTCCCAGCAGCCTTCCTCAGCCTACCCCGCCCGTTTCCACCCAACCTTCACCCCAGAAAGCAGGAATCCCCCTTTGCAGAAGAAGGCAGAGGAGTAACTCACAGGGCCTGGAGGAGGGCGGGCCACGTGAGGGCACTTCCTGGCTGGGACTTTTTGTCCCTTCCCAGACCTCATGTGGTGGGTCCTTTACAGAAAACAGTATTCATCCACAAGTCAGTTTCCTTATGTTCCTTTAAAGTCCGCCCTATTGTTTCTGGCCCTGTCTGTGCGTGCGTGTGTGCATGCGTGTGTGTCTGTGTGTGTGTGTGTACACCGAGGCCTCCTGGTGTGTCAGGCTGCCTGAGTGGGTTTGGCCTTGGTATCCTCCTTTCTCCCCCAGCTCAGTTCCATTGACAAAAGCATTTTGTAAACACTGTTTTCTTCTGTAATCCTCACAGGGTAAGCAGCTGTTCAGAGAGGCAAGAAGCCTGTAATCTCCTCGAGTAGCCAGGAACCTTTGAAGGCGAGCTGGAGCCGCCCTCTCAGCTGGCAACTTAATGCAGGCATGGCTTATGAAATGCTCCAAGATTGGTCTGGCATTGTGCAAGAACTGGGGGTGCGGTGGGGGTGATTCAACCATAAATTACACGTAGTCCGTATCTCAGGAACGCTACATACAGTCCAGGGAGAGAAACAAACCAATGCTCGAGGC